AAATGACATTACTAACCATTCATATTTTCCTTGAGGTGTGCTAAATACAGTATACTGTACACTATCTTCTTCCATTTTTATTCGCCAAAATCCCGATGTACAGTCAAATTTAGAATAATATTATTTTCATTTTGTAAAGTTTATTAAAACTTCTTTATTTGATAAAAAATATTCATCAAATTTAGTATATTTACTTAATTCTTTATAATTTATGACCATTCTAGCTTCTCCTCTAACATGTTCTGAATGTTTCATAACCATAAATGGTGGACTACTGTGAGGTCCATTATTAGGTCTAATAAGTTTTTATTCTAATAATTCTTTTATCTAAATATTTGAATTCTTGTGTATCTTCTATTGTATACATTATTGGTTTAACTCTTATTATAATATTTTCTATTTATTCCATTTTGCCTTTAGGGTCATATGGTTTCTAAAATAATAATAGATTTTCTCCATAAATTTTTTCTAATTATTCAATAATTTTTTCTATACTTATTTTTATTCCCGTTTTTAGAACTTTTTTATACAATATTCTTTTTTTATTTCATTAAATATGATTGGTTTTTTTCCTATTTATCACCACGTCTGGCTGCACTCTATAAGATTTAAATTCTCTTGAAATTTTAAATAAGTGCGAGCAAGGTTTTTGTAACATTATCATATAATTATTTTATTTATAATATTGAAATTATTGTAAAGTCATTTTCCAATAATATGTCACATTCTAATTTATCATATTTATATATTTTATTTATTGTAACTTGTTTACTTTCAAGAATTATATTAACTTTATCAACACTATTTATTCTATGGGTACTTTCTCCTGTGACTCCAGTTATTTTTATATTACTATTATTATTCCATAATTTTATCAAAAAAATTTTAAATATTGTTATATCACTTCATGTATCTATTAAAGCATAAGTTGTTGTGTTTGTTTCTACAATTGTAACATGTATATATACAGCTAATGGAAAACTTATCTGATTGTACATTTAGTTCTTTTTAGATAATATAGTTTGTCCATTATGTACTATATATAATCCCTTTTTTTTACACTATAATCTTCTAATTCATTCAGAAAACTCATTTCTAGAAGTACATGAGGGTTTATATCCATACTCTTATCTATATAATATGGTACTAAAATGTTTATTCCTCCTATTTTTATTGGGACTTTAACTTCTAATTCGGAAATATATATTTGTCCATCAAAATTTACATATCTACATGGATCAGTTTTATAAGTTATTAATCCTTTATTTCTGATTGAAGCTATATGACATTCACTAACTCCTGTATCTATTAATATATTTGGTCTATTTATATATATTCCTTCTATTTTCATATTTCCAACATTTTTGTAAAGTTTTATTTATCTTATATTACTAAATTCTTCTGACTGATTTTTATTAATTATTCTAAGACTTTTTGATATTTTAATTAATTTTTCATCCTTAAATATAATATTTTTCCTTTATTTAATTCTTTTATTTCAGGTTTATTTCTTATTATGCTAAATTCATATTCTTTTGGAATTAAACTTATTTATTTATTTGGTTATATTATTTTGCTAATATCCTTACATTTTTTTATGTATTTCAATCTATGGTTTATTGGAATTGGTAAATGTGTATAAAGCTCTATATTCTATAGTTATAATTTGTTCACTTGGTTGCATGATATCATCTCTATGTAACTTAAAATGCAATCCTAAAACTTCATTAAAGTTTCTATCTTTCAATGATACATAATATTTTGGGTAGCATGTAAACATTATTTTTTGATATACTAAATTTCCTTCTATTGTTCCTAAATGATTATCTTTTAGATTTATTATTCTTTCATGATGTAAAGTTATGTTAAGATGAGTCTATCCATTCTCTGAATAATGATTTAAATATTACTTTTATTCCTACTAGATAAATATATTGGATTTTTTTCACTTTATTTTTTTATTGATTTTTGTTAATAGTTCTTCAACTGTATTTTTTGTTAAAAGATTTAATTTTTTTTAATATGTTGTTTTTATCTCTATAGTTTTCTCAATTTTATGATATTCATTTATTGTCATTCTTTCTCTTTTCCAAATTCTGTCTAAAACTTCCAATTTTCCTATTTTTAAATTTAAAGATAATTTTTGCATTTTCTTAAATTTATTATTATTAAAGGTTACCTTTAACCCACAACCTTCTATTCCTTCATATTCTTGTATATTTATATTATTATTTTCTATTTCCTCTATTTTCTTATTCAGATTCTGATTAATCATATTCTATTTCACTTATATATACTTCTTGATTATAATATTGTTCAATATCCGATATTTCACTTAATTCATCTTTTATTTTCAAATATTCTTTTTGTAATATTTTAACTTTCTTTTTATCACAATTATGACTTATATGACCTATTTCCCCACAATTCCAACATTTACATTGACTCTTTTTTTTCTTATAATTTTTATTTTTCTGTCGATCATATGAGTTATTTTTTCTTTTATAATATCTTTTTCTAAGTTATGTATATTTTTTATTAAAATTTCTAAATTTTTTTAACTTTTTATTTTCTTTTATTAACCCTTATTTCAGAATTACAACCCCATTGTATAGGATTTTCCATTTATTCACAACATATTCTAGTTAATTTTCCTGATTTTTTCAATAATTGTCTTTGTTGACATATATATGCAAGTCTTTCAAATAAAAATTTTATTTTTTAAACTAAAGTTCTAGGTATTCCAATATTATCTCTGACATATTTTTCAAATTCTATTTTAAAATATATTCCCTATGAATCTGGTAACTTATCATAATACATGTCTTGGTATACTTTTTTATTTTCATTACTATAAAATTGAGTATAATAATAATTTCTGAATTCACAAGTATATTCTTTAATTTTACATATATCACATATTGTTAAATTTATTAATTTAATTATAGCATTATCTTTTTCTCTTATTACTTCCCTTTCGGCATTTCTTATTCAATTTTCTCCTAAAAATTTATCTAAAATATTTTCACTTTTCTATACCTTATTTTTCTGATTTTATTATTTCTATTTGTACATTTCTTTTTATTAATATTTTTGTCTCATTACTTATTCATTTTCACCAATTTCTAACATCTCCTTCAAAAGATGCCCTTAAAAAATCCATTTTTCTTTCAATATTTTTCCATGTGTCATCTTTATTATATAAAAAGAATAATATCATTGAATCTGTCCAAATTATTAAGGCTTTTTTAGTATCTATTTTACAATTTAAATCTAATTTTATTACTCCATGATTAATAGGTTTATCATAATTATCATTTAATTCAAACATATCTCTATATTTATTTTCTTTAGGTAGTTGGCTATCTCTTATTTTATCATAAAATTATCTATATGCTTTATTATATGTAGGTGCATAACTTTCATCTTATTCTTATAATTCTTGTTTAGAGATTTCCATTGGATTAAGTCCTCTTTCAGTATTCATTAAAATTTGGTATTCACTTATATCACTTAAACTTAATTAATCAAAATTTTCTATAAGTAAATCTAATTCATCATTCATCTTTATTTTCTTGATTTTCTTCTATTTTTAATTTTCCTAACATTTTTTCTTTAGATTCTTCTTCTTCTTCTTCTAATATTTTAGGTAATATATTTTTTCTAAATTCATCATCCATACTCCCTATTTCTATTACTATATTTTCTTTTTCAATATATTTATTACCTCTTCGGGTCATTTCTTTTTCTATTAAATTTTTTATCTATTTTCTTTTCTTTATTTTTATTATTTTCTTTTAATTTTCTAATTTCAATTTTTAATATATTTATATCATTTCTTATTTCTATTTTTTCTTGTATCTTATTAATATTTGTAATTAATCTATTCAATTTTAAATCTGTATTATCATTTACTCTCATACTTTTTCTTTATAATATAAATTAATTTCTTCATCTTCATATTCTTTAATAATTTTTTTTAATTTATTATGAATAGGTTCTAAAAATATATAACTTCATTTTTCTTCTTTTAAATGTCAATAATTATTTATTTTTCTTATTTTAATTTCCACGATCTCTATGGTTCTGATACAATTTTTTTTTTTTTTGTGGGGGGTGGGGGATGCTACTTTGACGAACAAAATTCAAATAAATCTGTATAATAAATCTATCTAATTCAAGTATGGTTAATTTTAAGGACTAGAATGAAAGATTTCTATATTATAGTGATTTGTATGTAATATTTATAAGGAATGATATTTTAGGTACTTTTATTGGTTGAATTGGTTAAAGGCTAGTTTGGAAAAATAGTCTCTTTATTTAGGCAATTTTTATGTATTTCCCTTCTATAAAGGCATGAGGACTTTTTCTTATTTTGAATCATCGGATTGAACTTCTGAACTTCTGCCATGATGGATATGAGTTATAATGTTCACAGTTAGTGTGACAACATGTGATTGCCACGTCAGTAGTGAGGGTATGATCTAAGAACATCACATATCATCAAACTTACAGTGAATATTATAATTTATAACTCCTGACCACTGTGGATTGAAATTTAAACCCGTCATTTAATATACAATAAATGTATTACTAAGCCATTGTTTGATACCTATTAAAATCTAAATTTTAATATAAGTCAAATTCAACAATTAATTTCAACCAAATATATTATGGATCTCACAACTTTTCAATTATGCATTTCATCAATTTCTATCAAAATCTTCTAAAAATTTGATTTTCATTCTCGCCAAACTGGTGCCAGATATAACATAATGTAATTGACAGACATTAAAGAATTCATTTCATTCACCGAACCACAGTCTTACAATGGATAGTCTACTCGTGGAATTATTCATCCCCTTCATTTAACCAAAGAAAGGTATGAAATAAGAAGGGCAGAGCCGCCCAGTTCGAACGACTTTTCCCATGAATAAAGGTGCATTTAGCCCATCATATTAGAGTCGATAAGAATTTTATTATATTTTGACTAGCCAACGAAAAGAAAATAGAGACTGAATAAATTCGCCAACATAATAATATAATCTTTTCAATATATGTACACATCAAATAGTGAGTGAAAATAGAAGCAAAAGCCATCCATAATAACACAGAGTCGTGATGCTCAAAATGGACCACCAAATAGTCAATTCACCACCGGCCAACCAATTGTTATGTACAGATATCTTACCATCCCCGCAATCCTAAACAGCCTTCCTGCCCATCTCAAGTAACTAGACAGTCAATGGTTGCCATTCCCATCAAGAAAAATCCTCAAGTTACACAGAGCCTCTGCTGACAGGCTGCAACACCTAAATTTTCGTTGGCGTCCCGGTGATGGTTCCGGGTGATCGAGGGAAGTGAAACAAACTATGATGACGGTGAGATTGTCGAAAGTGTTGCACCGCAGGGCCTCCATCACAAGGTCCTTGGCACATTGCTCGGGATCGTCATGTCGTCTCAGCCCACGACGCACGAGATTAACAGCTTGTTGACTAGACATAACATCCCAGATCCCGTCGCACCCCATTATGAGGAATTCATCATTCTCCGACAGTACAATTTGACGAAATTCCGGCTCTGCAATAAGAGGGGAAGGAGAACCCCGAGGCAACTTCATGTCCCAATCCCCAAGAGCCCGAGTTACAGCTAGAACACCATTGAGATAATCTCTATCAATAAACCCACCCAATTCCTCTACGCGCTTTCGCTCTGATGCATAATTAGGTCTATGATCTTGAGACATATCAATTGCCTCTCCTTTCCGGCAAAGAACAGCTCGGCAATCTCCTGCGTTTGCCACCATTAGTAGCCTGGAAGAGAGTAAACATATTCTTTTAATTACAGAAAAAGGAATTTTAATGCTAGAAAGACCTGAATTCATTAACATGCGAGAAATTACTCAGTTTTCCAATTTTAGAGTTTTAAACTCATGAACAAGTAGGTCATATAAAATAGTACACTTAGAACAGAGTAGCTTATGTTAGCTGACTTTCAAAATCAAATTTTTTTAAATGCAAAGAATAAGAAAGGTATCCAAATGCCATATAAATTGAAGTTCTATTAAGGGATAAAATCTCAAATCGATTAAAAATGAAAACATAGACTCTTAACAATGTTGACCTTTTTAGATAGAACCCCAAATTTTAACATGGTATTAGAGCCCATTAAGCTCTAACGAGCAATTCGATCCAATTAAGTCTCAATTAATGAGCATACGGATTTCAAAATTAGCCTACTCAAAATAGTCATCATCTTGCAGGGGCATTTGAAGGGATAAAATCTCACATCGATTAAAGATGAAAACATAGACCACCAACTTATAAGATATTGGACTACTCATCTTAACGAAGTTGACATTTTAAGATGGAATCCCAAATTTTAACAAACTCAAAGTCGAAGAGGCCTCGAGAGCTCAAGAGGCAATTTGTTTCTGTGATGTTAACGACAACCAATTCTTACACAGTAATGACAAGACAATGCCGGTAAAATCTAACATATTAAGTGATCAATGGCACAAAGATTTACCTTCCAAGTACAAGAACTGTCAAAGCAGTTGTCCCAGAAGAAGTGCTCACACTACTGTCATCAGCCAAAGCCATGTCTGCCAGAAGAAATCCTTTCTTTAGACAATTCTCAACCTCTAACCGAAATGCATCATCAACTTCAGAAGTTTGTGGGAAATTAGCATCTTCGAAAAAGAATCTGATTGCATTTTTTCTAACATAAGCTGCTGCCTCAGGCCCTCCATGGCCATCAAATAACTGTTACCAGGCAAAAAAGAACGAATGAGAAAATGATGGGATGACAGTAATATAGGACTAAAACAGCAATATGAAGAGAATATCACTTACCCCATAGAATGCACTTGGCTTGGGAAAATTAAAGAGTGAACCGAAATGTGCAGACAGATCATCTATCCTTATGTGCTCATCCTCCATGTATCTTCGTGGCCCAATATCAGCAAAACTACCAGAACGAATGCTGGGAACAAATTGCAGAACAGACGTTTCTGGGGATTTCACATCCTGACAGATAAAGTAGTTTTCAAATTAAGTTTGGTCCTAAAAGTAAAAGATCAGATGGAATGACTAACTAGTCTAACTTAAAATGTGTCTATGTATGTTACAGAATGAGTGACTACAGGGGAACAATACAGAAGAAATTCACCTCATTCTTTTACGTATTACAAGAAAGAGTTTCTTAAGCCTGTACGTAAAGGGTTGCCTGCATATTTGGATGTAATTTCCTTCGTCACCATTGGTTATACTTATACCATAGATCGTCTAGGCACATAAGCAAGTGATTGGGAGCTCAACAACCAAGATCATGTACCATAACAATCTCATCCAATCTCGTTTATTAAAAAATTATTAGGGAAGTCCACAAAATTTCGGAAAAGTTGTTAGTACAAAAAACCATAATCATATAAAGTTTTTATCATGATCAGTGGCTATATGAGGAAAACAAACGTTTACAGCAAGCAGTAAACTAAAGGAACTAGAGTCAGTAGCTAGAAGACAGATAAGTTCTCCGCTAGATAATCGCGGTAAGAAACCTTCCCCAGAGATCGGAATCTTGAATAAAAGATTTAGGGCAAAACCAATTTCGTTGGCTTAATATGGAACTAGCATGAGATAAAGATTCTGGTTTTTGAATTTGATTTCATCCTCAATTACAATGAAATCAAATAAAGAATATTATTTATTTACTTTTATTTTTTGCAGATTCAAATGAGAAGAGCAAATGATACTGACTAACCTAATTATTCTTTCAAACACCACGCCACCCACCCATCCGGAAAAGGAAGAGGAAAATTGTAATAAATTGATTAAAAAAAGACTTGTCCATTCTTTACCTAATGCTGCATAAAATTTTCCCCCATTTTCTCGTCTCTTAAAATCTAATCTTCGATTATATTCTTTCATTTTCAATTTAGTTTTTCTAATCATGGTTCAACCAGTTCATCACGTAAACTAATCCAAGACTTTTCTTAACATAATAGCTAATTATCACACATCAAAACTCATATTCCATAGTTCAAGATCTAATAAAAAAGTTTGATGCATAAAATTAAAGAAAAGCTATGAACAACTCATCAAAACTGCGGAAGCAGAAAATAATACAAATCCCATAACTAAAATTAAAATCAACATAGAGAAATAAAATTGAAAACAAGAACCAGTTGAGTTAAAGCTTTTACCACTTCAGAACTTGGCACATCCAAGACAGGAACGCTCTTTTGAATCACAACCTCAGCTTCAGCTCCCATTTTTTCAGATCAAACCACTCAAATCAACAGACCCACTTCAAGATTTTCTTGGAAAACAATACAAAACAAAGATTCTCAACTTTAATCAAGATTTTTGATGGAGGTAGAATTTTTCAGGGTACAAAACTTTAGATCTTTTTCTTCAGAAAATAATAATATGTTTCTGGTACTTTCTTTGGATATCTATGATTGTTGTGTGCAGAAAATAACCAAACTAAATTTAGAACTAGTAGCGTTGAATTATATTTATACAATAAAAAGAGGTTGAAAAGGTTTCAAAGCAGTTGTAATCCGGACACGTGTGAGTTACAAGAATCTAATTGAATTGTTCGATTTCACACGTAAATGGGAGATATGATTGAGCGATTCAATTGATGGACAGGTGGAGGTCTCCGTTGTGGGTAGTTTCGGTGTAGGTACCGCGTGAGTTTTGAAGACGCGCGAAGGCCGTTTCTTTTTTCTGGCTGTCAAAGTTTGACAAAATAGACCCCGTTGACTTCCCCGCCTACAATTTTAGATTATAATTAAAAAAAAATTAAGACAATTACAAATCTACATGCATGGCCTTTTAAAAAAAATAAATTAAAATAAAATAAAATTGATTGATAGCCTCTTACGACTTATCAAAGCTAAATGGACTCATTTAGCGACCGCGACCAAAACTCTTACTCATGTCAAAATATACGTTACTTTTGCAAAGTAAGCCTTTGTTTGAATTTATAGACGCTTTATAAGTAAAAAGAAATGAATAAATAGTGCTTGTGAGTGTGAGTCTATTAAACTTTGTAATTAAAAATGAAATTTGATCATTTATAAATTTTGTCGAAGGGTAAGCGATTGGTAGTGAACCAAATGTGTTGGGAAAAACTTTAACCACTAAATTGAAAATCGGCATAGACTTCAATAATTATTGGTGAAATTAGCATCGTTTAAATTATAGTGGAGTTCTTGTCACGTGTCTGTTTGAGTTTTGCATTTATTCATAGAGTCACAAACACACTTGAATTCATCTTATCAAAAATGGGAGGTGGAATGTACCGAGTCTACACGAGTCATTGGTTTTATTTGACGTTCCCCTCTAATTCAAACAAGAGCGCTGCTGTTCTCATTTTCGAGGTGAAGTATGAGTCACTCATGTGGGGTACGTTTCACCATTAAATTTTGGATTTGAGTTAGCGTTGTGGATCTTCGATGCAGTGTGAATCCAACGTGACTCCAAGTGCGGTGGAGGTATAACAATAATATATTAGTTTTGTATCTAATATTTATATTAGTTTTTAGACTTGTGTAGGTATACTAACATGTTTGAATTAGAAGTTTAAGTGGAATGAGTTGCTTGTCCCACTAGTGAGTCGAGCTTGATGAACCAACTCACTCGCGTGCCCATGCCAATCCGCTTCAAGATTGTAAGTGGTTCGAATTTTAATTTAGAAGTACAATTTTTTACTTTAAAAAAAAGGGCCGCACCAAATTATGACCTCGTGGGACGAGTCGAGCGACCCAACTTACTTCATTTAACATCCTTACTTTGACTAGTGTCGCCCTCTGCTTCATGCCTTCATCCATCAAACCCTTATAAGGCATTGACCAATACGGTTTGGGTATTGTGCTGAAGTGGCCATCCAGGCATCCACGCAAGGTAGAAAAGTGACAAATGTATAATATAATTTCTTTTTATTTTTTAATATTGTAATATTGCCTAATATTATCTATTGTTTGCATAATATTCACCTAATAATTCACCTACAACTATACTATAGTCTCTTCTTATCTAAACTGCCTAATTTGAAACGTGTCTACTTTGCAGGTTTGTGGCTTCCTCGTCATATAATTTGCACCCACACTTTAAGTTACAGTTTGCCAAACCAATAGTCTGATAAAGTAACAATCTCATTTTGATTTTAGAAAGTAACAGTTGGATTAATTAATTAAGAAAATAGATACGTGGGTTACAATACCCTCTTACATGCATAAAATACGATGGAGGTTGGAACTAAATATTGAAACGAACAGATGGCTTCCCCTAAATACGACACTTAAGTTACATCTTAGTACCACTTTACCTAAATAGAGGTTGCGAACTTGTAAATAATATTTGAATAAAGCCAAACGATCCACGAAGATGACTGCACCAATGACCGCGCACTCATATGGATGCGCCGGTCCTGTGTGAATAAAATAATGCCCGACCCCCAAGTGTGCATGTGCGGTCATCTCCAATGTCAAACCTGATGTTCGCATAGCATGGTTGATAATATTGAGGCCACTAAAGAGTGGCTAATAATGAATTCCATTTGGCGCACTTAAAACAATACTTCGAGCATGTAAAGAATGGACGATCAATCAATCATGTCATTATCGGTTAACTTATCTTGCCGTCTCTCATAAAAAAGCAGTATCAATCGTGATTTTTCACTATATAGTGTAATCTTTTTTCTGTAAAATTAGTAATGCTATTTTTTTAGGGTTCGTGGGAAGTTCAATTTGTTGAAAATAAAGTTTGTAAAAGGCATATTTCAAGATTCGGAATTTTAAGATTTGAAATTCGGACTTCATTCAAACCACATCTGAAAGAACTTATTTCAGCCTAATAGGTGAGCAAAGGGTAGTTTAGTTGTAAACAAATGTTATTTTTCTCTCATTAGGTTCTAAAATGTCAAAAAAGAGAGCTGCTATTTTTGAAAAAAAAAAAGAAGAAGAAGAAATATGCTACTAGAATTAATACAAATAACACTTAACAATTTTATATTGGACAATAGGCAAAAAAAAAAAAAAAAAAAAAAGAAAAAGAAGAAGAGAGATCAAAATTTTTAACAAAACCAAATAGAAAGATTAGATCTACGCGTAAATATGAAAATTGGTAATTTTTAAATTATTAAATAATTAAATTTCGTCACGTTGAATTTAAAATTTTTAATTATTAAGTAAGAGAAAGTTTGAAAGTTTTTTTTTTTTTTTTTTTTTTTTTTTTTTTTTTTTATAATTTTATCTTTGAAAGATTTGTTTAAGTGCTATTGATGTCAATCTCGATTAATTTTGTTAGGGTTGGACGTGGTTTGATTTGGTTTAAGTCTAAAGGACACCAAACCTAACTAGAATTTTTGAATATTTACAAAGTGGAATCGTTGAATCTAAATTTAATTATAGAATCGTACTGATTTGATTCGGTTCAGTTCAGTTCTATTTCATACCATGATTTAAATTTTTTAACATTTAGGACACTACATTAATTCAACTAATGACATATTCAATATGGAAGACATACTAAAAGGAATGTGGAAATATTCAGTCAAAAATATGGTGAAAATAAAGAACATGACAAGGAAGGTAGTTACTAAGAGAAAGGGGAACAAGTAAATGCCTGATCTTGCAATAAACATCTTCGGTTTGGGCTAAAAACAAGAAAATGATATTCCGGACTCAATTAATTAATTGACAAATAAATCAGGAAAATGATATTTTTGGGCTCAACTAATTTGTTGACAAATTTATCTAGAAAAGATTTAAAATAACTTCACTTTTAAAAATAAAAATAAAAAATAGAGAGATTCGATTATTAATCGGTTGTTCAATTTTTAGTCTAGAATCGAGAATCGAACCAACATTAAAGTTTAACATATTGTAACCAATGAACAATCTTTCATGTTTTGGCTTGGTTTGAAGTTTGTGTTGAACCACAAGGGCTCATTCTTGGGTGGCCGATACATAGTTGTACGAGTCGGGATTTTGATTTAGTGAAGCAAGAAAACTTTGATTGGGCGCCAAAATTCATAAGAAAAATGAAACAACTTAGTATACATTGGTGGTCATAAGGTTAATATTGTGTGATTATGAGAAGAGTTGAGATTAGAAATGGTTACAGAAGCATAGAAGTTGGTTCCTTTGATGCAATTAGTAATTAATTAGTAATATTGGTCTCATTAAATTTTTTATATGATCAAATTTGATTGATTCAATGGTTGAGTTAAGGAGGTATTCAACTCCACCTTAGTCAATAATAATAAATGGACACTCAACAAAAAAGTCACCGTGCTCTTTAAATGAGCTAAAGAAAAGAAACAAAAGTCAATTAGAATGAGACAACTGAATGCATTAAAAATCTTGACAGGGTGGGCTATTTATAACCATAGGGCCCAACTAAATTTACAAAAAATTTGCTGACAACCCAATAAAGTAGGATTATCCTAAAGATTAAGTAGAAAATAGCTAACTCTCTAATGACTAAGCAAAAATTTTATTCATGCAAATAATTAATAATAAATTTCTAATATTCCCTCCTTGAATTAATGTGTAAAAACATTAGTTTAACGAAGACTTGCTATTATGACCATCCATCAAATCAATCTTTTCATAGATAACAAGTAGCCTCTCGAGCTTTTGAAATGCAGAAAATTTGAGGGGCTTCGAGAATATGTCCGCAACTTGATCTTCACTTTCTCAGAAAATAAGGTCAATTGAACCATTGTTGGTGAGTTCTCGTAGAAAATGATATTTCAAATGTATATGCTTATTTCTTCCATGTAAAATAGGATTCTTTGAGAGTTTAATTGAAGAATTGTTGTCGCAATATATCTGAGCGTGTCCATGTTGCTTGAAATGAAGTTTTCCGTGAACCTTTTTCAACCAAATAGCTTGACAAGCACAAGTCGTTGCAACTACAAACTTAGTTTCTGTGGTTGATAAAGTGACAATTGACTACTTTTTAGATGACCATGAGCCAGCTTCTGAACCGAGCATGAAAACATAACTTGAAATAAGTTTCTTCGATCATCTGAATCTCTAGCATAATAGAATAATCCATAATTTACAGTACCCTACAAGTAACAAAAAAATCCTCTTTGCAGCAAGAAGATGACTCTCCCTTGGATGTTCCATGTACCCGCTAATAAGACAAAGAGTATGCATAATATCATGTCTTGTTGCAGTCAAATACATTAGGCTTTCAACAATTTGCTTCTAAAGAGTGTTGTCAACCCCTTTTTCTTCTGGATCTTTTATAAGTTTCAGACCAAACTCTCTTGGAGTTCTTACAGAATTGCAATTCTTCATCTAAAATTTCTTGCACATACTTCTTTTGGGAGACAAGATTACCATTAGCAAATGGCACTACTTCTATACTGTTGTTGATTTTATCCTGCAAGTGGACGGATCGTGACAAATAGTAAAATGGACCTTTTGAGTCCGGATTATCGTTCCCACGAGGAATATACTTTAG